TTATTTAAAAAATATCTAAAGTGCTTTTAAACTATCTCTCTATATTGTGTTTGTCTATTTTTTAGATTATTTTACTTTTGAAAATTGATCTAAATATTATGTATTATGGGCATTGTTTTAGGTCTGCCCGTCGTCGCGATTAAATAAATAAAAGCAATCCAATCGACTGCGAGATGAAGACGTACTTTTAAATTTCTGAGCGTGTGGCCGTTGCCTCGTGAGAAAAAAAAGCAATAAATGATTTGCCAGCCGCATTTATAATATGCTGCGTCCATTGCAAATTTAAAAACGGACCTTATTGTATGTTGTAAAGGCTTGAAATCGCAAAAGTTTGAGGTTTCTGTCTTAGTATCGTATGCGTCATTCGAGATGAGAATGCGCGAGTAACGATGTATCAAGGACATCGGGAATTGTTTTCGTTTCGTTCTCGACCGCATTAAAATTGTTGCGATTTGCCATTGCATTTTTGTTTAAAAAAAGAACGTTGGTAATTGAAGCGGTAATTTATCAGCCGGTCGCGAGCTAATAAAGCAGTTTTATTGCGATTGTACATCGATTTAACTGTACATTTCTCCTATTACTCTGTGGAATGGGTTTCCACATACCATTGACGCGTCATTAACTAGAAATGTAATCCGTTTCCAATATTCAGGCTGGCGATAGTTAACTCTAATGTTTGTAACCGCAGCCGAGCCCCGCGTTCGCTTCTTGTCTTTCTTGTGAAGCGTTTGCCGTTTTACGGAAAAGTATCACAGCGTCATAGAAGAGAGACCTGATGCTGATGCACGAATGGCCAGTTCCGTCCGGGGAAGTACCAGGACCTCACAGTAGAGCGGCGTGTAGAACCGGCGAAAGTACCTCATTCACCAGACGAAATGATACTTATGCGTTTCGTCTGGTGAATGAGGTAACCGGGGAATTGAAAGGTGGCAGCGCATCTGAAACTCTACGGGTGTAAATGTCCATGGGCGGCGTATATCTCTTAACATCAGGTGAAACGGCAACTCACTTACCACCTTCGCACATAAAAAATCCTTTTGCGTTCCTTCTGGTAAGTGAGGTAACCAGGGCACATCACTTTAAAGGATGGCAATGCAACTCTAGCTTTTCCGGTGTTGTAGATGACCATGTAAACAAGAGGCCTCTCTTCGCTATTCAATGAAAGTTATGTGAATAATAGGATTGCATTGTTATGAACGGACCGGGATAGTTTTCTAGCGGCTAGCTTATAAAACGAATTTGTACTTACCTCACGATTGATGACATTAACCTAATCTCTTTCGTATTTCGCTTCTCTGTATGAATTACTTATTCTTGTACATACTCTTGTACGTAAATGCTATTTAATAACAACCCAGTGCCGAAGACTCGGAACTTACTTCCTGTGCGAGGAACAACAAAGTTTATGACCCGTGTGGTTTATTTCGTTTCGTTCTTGACCGCGACGAAAAGCCGTGATAGCTCAGTGTCCGGGCGCTCACCTTTAATTTAATTTACTTGAGCAACTAGAGTTCGAATCCCGGTGCCAGCAACAATGAAATTGAATTTTAAGTGCTGACTTATCACGTGATCAGCGGTTAAAGAAAACATCGTGGGGAAACATTTCATCATATTTACGAAATAATAACAAAAAAAAACCTGTGGGACTCTGGGACTGCCGCGGTAAAGCTACTGCAGTGTCTTTTATCAACTTATGCAATTATACCTATTTTTTTTATTTATGCAGTATTTTTTTTTCGTTGACATTTATATCTTTATTAATAAACAATAATATTTTTATTAATATATATTATAATTAATTATATATAATTTATTTATATTATTTAAAATGATAAGAACTACTAAGTCAGTCACTAAGCTATTTGGGTAGTTAAATTACAATATACTAACATTTTTAAACTTGTGATATCTTTCGAATGGAATGTCCGAATTCAATAATTCAAAAACTTATAAAAAGATATTGAAACAGTCTTAAATATGAATTAATTTATTTTCATAAGGATTAATACCAAGATACAAATAAAAAGCCTTTTCTAGCGGCGGCTTTTCAATCAAAATTTTAAAATAAAAGAAAACTTATTGTGGCATAACTATAATAGTTTGACATATTATGGCGTTCCGACACTTTTTGTAAATAATGATGTGTTCTGCATTTGTAGTACATTATTTTATTCTATCATCAATAGTTTTCGCAGCGCACGCGATATAAAGAATATTTTATGTAATTTTTGTACACTTTAGGTTACATTATTGAAGTTTTAGTAAGGATCCCTAGTTTTTTGAAAATAAAATAACATAAATAAAATATAGCCTATGCCATCCGGGGATAATGTAGCTTCCCAACAGTGAAAGAATTTTTCAAATCGGTTCAGTAGTTTCGGAGCCTATTCAATACATACAAACAATCAAGTCTTTCCTCTTACATGGTGGAGTGGGTGGTGTTAGGTTTTATTTTCGTTACGGAATTTCTTGATTCGGTCGCCGCGCTCAAATCCCGCGATAAAAGCTATACAACAGCTTAAAAATATTTGCAATATACCTATGTGAAGTCCACCAATCCGCAATGTGGTCGCGTGGTGGACTATGCCCTGATACCCTCTCTACAGAGAGGCCTTGATATCGTCTCTACAGGCTGTTACTTATATCATTTTTTTACATACTATTATTAAACCGTTAAAGTAAACGTTTAAAATATTTTTTTAAGATGAAATATGTAAAGGGAATATCTTAAAAATGTCTGTTTAAAATAATTCGGGAAAAAGCAGTATGATTTCTTTCCTATATTTGACTAATAGTAAAGCAAATTCATTTATTTAGGTCTTGTTGTTAGATATTTGTTATCTTGAACAGTTTAAATAGTTTCTTACGCAAGCCAACCCACTTTTGCTTTTGTTACAGCATCTTATTATAATCCTAAATACTAACGCTAATGTCGAAGACATTGCATATTTGTTAAATTGGTTATCGTCGTTTCTTTTCTTATCTAAAGCTTTTGACCCCATAATTAATGACCGTAAACGCTTCGTAAATTAATAAAATCGTTTAGAATCTTAATTCATTATGGTAATGTAAATTAGGTACATTTAAGCGCCGGAAAATACTGTCGTAACTTACTGCGGTCGTGAAAAAGTTTACTTTAATTGTTGCGTTTCGCGGTAATTAATTTTAGAATCATTGTGGTAGAAGGGAAATATTAATTTATAAGATGTTATCCCTCATATCTGTGGTAGCAACTTAACAATTGTTTCTATGAATTTACTTCATAATTTAATAAAGCTGCATTTTTATTAAACGAAATTTTTAAAGGAGATTCTTCTAAAATTAGCATAGACTTCACTTTTTGAAATGACATCAAACTCAGTAATGATTACCTTTTGTTTCTTTACCTACATTATCAGTTCTTACTGCTAAAATCCGCGCTAAGTCTTCACATATCTTCACTTCTTGAGCGATATCTTTCAATAGCAGTAATAAATTCCCCTCACACATCTCAGTAGCATAATAACTTTTAATCATTTCTCTATTCCACTATTATATTAATTCTGCCTGCCGGCTGACTAACAAATAAATTGAGGTTATAGTTATTAATCAGATCATAAACTTAAATCCCACCTAATTGGCCAAATATTTTGGATAAGCGAAGATACAGGGGAGATAAGCCCGTCCCTTTATTAGTGGCCTTACAACTAATATATCAAAGTGTCATTTATACGCTTAGCCTTAATAAGCTAAACGTGTAATGTATTAGTACTCATAATATCAATAAACTACTATCACTTTCGTACAAAACCGCTTTTAGTTTACAAGTAAAACATTGTTGGTAACAAAAATAAAACCAATTACAAATATCACAAAGTTTATTTTTTTATTTATGTTTAATTTTGAGGGATTCCATTTTTGATGTATGTCTGGAATCTAAGGTCTAAGACCAATGAAATACAAATGGGGTCAAATGGGAAATAAAGCGAACAAAACGCAAAGCGAATTTTTTGAATCGACTCATAAATGACACAGTTCTGAGGTAGCAGTCATAAAAAAAGTATGCGTGTACTTAAAAACGCCCCTACCCTCGCAAGTATCGCTATTTTTTTGACTGATATATTATATCCCCAGTTCCAGTGTCCTCTTTGGGACATTAAATTGCAATTGATAACGTTTTAATTAAATAATTTAGAAATATAGGGAAATTTCAAAGAGTTATTATTAATTACAATGGCATTACAGTGAATTTGGTAGCTTTGCAACCAACTTCATCTTGTCGCTTTATGGCTGTCGGTATGCGCGCGTGTAAGATTTAATTAAAAGCGATATCTTATGCATAAAACGAGCAATTCTTGTATATATATACAGCGTGTCGTTACCATCGCGACAATAAATGAACACACATCTAACGCTACTTGCTAATAATCATAAAAAAATATTAACCTTAAATCCGTAATTAAAAAAAAAATATTTTTCAAACAAACTGATTAAGTAAAAAAGAAACAAAATTTGTAACATCCTATACAACTCGCGCCACTGCGTCGTATTACAATCCTCTCCTTCTAACAGTATGTTTTGTCTCTTTTAAACTCTGTATATAATCGGAATCTCGGACACCGCTCCAGCGATTTTCATTAGTATGTGCGTAGATTCGGGAGCGAAAAATCGATCTAGCTAGGTTTCATTTTTAGAAAATGTCCTTTTATCCCTGTTTTCAGGGAATGAAAAATATCTTTCGAATATGACAGTAAATTTCACCGCAAAAAAAATTTTATAATAGCTCGGTCGGTAATCGGGCGGCCCCAAAATAGACGGCCGCGGTTCGTATCACGATCATTTACACACTTATTTTTTTTACTTTTTTCCTATACCAGATCATTTTCTTTATTTTTTATTTCCAAAATACATGATTTATAAAAAAAAAACCGAGCAAAGCTCCTCCAGGTGCTAACTTCAAAAACGTACAACCGAATTGAGAAACTCCTCCGCTGTTTTAAAAATCAAGTTTGCTTGTGCAGAGATCGGCATGGGCTTCACCAAGTATCCCGAGTCGGTGACTGCGCCAGTCGGGGACGAGGTCACCTTCGAGTGTGCTGTGGAGGTCCCCGGCGAGAAGCTGACGTGGCGGTGGAAGCCCGCCGACAGTCAGGAGGAGGACTGGAGACAAGTGGAGGGCGTGAGCGATAGAGACAGCCTCTCCACTAGACTTGTGGTGGATGTAAAGGAGGAGACGCCTAACTCGCTTTACCAGGTATAGTTATTCTCGAAGTATGTTTTGTTTTTATGTGAAAAGATGGCAAGCGAGCTGGCGGGTAACCTGATGTTAAGTGGTATCCGCCGCGCACGGATATTGCAGCACCCGTAGGGGTTATAGACACGTTGCCGCCTTGTAATAAATTGCGCGCCGGCCACCTCACTCACCAGACGAAACGCAGAATACCACTTCCACTTCACGCCGGTCTTCTGTGAGGTCGTGGTACTTCACCGGACGGAACTGCCCATTCGTGTAGCAGTGAACTGTTGCGTGGACCTATCACTGTTATCCTCGAAGTAATAGCTTAATACTTACTTAAATAAGATATATAAAGGCTACGAATTATTTAAGAATGTCGTCCACCACACGAGTCCTTAGTAGAGGGTGTTGATTACACTCCATTCTGAATACACATAATTTAAAAAAGCATTTGCATTCATTTAAAACATGATGCGTTTTTGATTGTCCCTTGCACGTTTCTTTATTATTCATCGGACCGCACTAAAAGTTTGACGAGTTGTTGTTCCTAAGCTCGTGAAAGTTTCTTTGTTGATAAAATACTCGTAAATTCAGGAATATTAAAAATAATAATAAATGCAATCCCTGAAATCCCTGTAGCTAGTTCTCAATAGGACATTAAGCCTGTTTTTGAATACTTTATGGTCTTGATTTTATTCTTGCACGATTTCATCTAAGATACGTAAGTATTGATAAGGGGCAGCTTATGGCTGAGATCACCTTTTGGACTTTTTTTCGTGTACGGTGAGATAAGTCCATCCAAGGTCGTTAACGAGACGCAGGTATAAAACCTGTATTTGAATCACCGGATTCCATTCGAAGCGTTTAATTTGGGCTTTAGATTACGGGGTGCACCGATATAGACAAAGTGACGTTGTAGATTTTTGGATCAGATAAATTTACATCGGCAGCGCTGTCTGATCGTATTAATGATAAGTTAAATACTCAGTTTTAAAGTCTCTTTAATAATAGTCAGAAAAAACTCTCGAATAAGAGACGCTAAAGACCATGTGAACGTATATTTGATACAAATGTAAAACAGACGGAAAATTAGTTTATTTCTGCCACTGGAGTATAAACGCACTAAGAATCGCTTCCACGAGACAGGAACATTAAATGTAATGTCATGACGATAAAAATAAGATAAGAGTATAAAATTCCACCTACGCGTCCAACATAACTTGATATTCATCTGCATCGTGAGCTCGAGCAGCTTCGAGATGAATTAATGATGGTTACATGAATATTAGTCGACATTAAGATTCGTACTCACGCTTGCGCCAACTAACAATCGTAACAATATTGCGCTAGTTAATAATCGGTTACCACTGCGTCATATGATCTTATGTCATCGAATTTTATATACGACTGTAAAGTCCATCTGCGTCATTGAGCCATTGTGTGTAGTTGTAGTGTAGTTACAAGTCGGGATATAGTTAAAAGTATAAAAGTATCAGCCTACACATGGGCAAAGGCCTCCGTACAGAGGGTATCAGGGCATAGTCCACCACGCGGCCCCACTGCGGATTGGCGGACTTCACATATCTTCGAAATATTTTTTATTATTATTTCGATATGCTGGTTACCTCACGATGTTTTCTTTCACCGCGGAACACGTGATAATTCAGCACTTAAAATTTGGTATTCATTGGTGCTGGCACCGGGGATCGAACTCAGGTTCGGACACTGAGTTATCACGGCTCTTTACTACGGCTATTACTTGGTCTCAAATCCTTCTCCCACCTCATCCACTTCGGTCAACACCCAGTACGCCTCAACATTTTTGCTGTCGATATTTCCTGCGTTACAATAATAAAGTTGGCATCCTCATTCGTGCGGCAGAGAAATAGTAGTCTGCTTACGTTAGTCTCTCCGTCCACTTATATGAAGAATGCGTATGTTTAAAAGGCAAGAGTGATTAATTTGTGACGAGTTAATGAACAAAGTCGACGTCACTTCGGGTTCGTCGGGTTTTTTTTAACGCGAAAAGTTGTCAAACGAGCAGACGGTTCACCTGATGTTAAGTGAATACCGCCGCCCATGGATATCTGCCACACCCGAGGGTTACAGATGCGTTGACAACCTTTTGAAAATTGGGCTCCGGCTACCTCACTCACCACACGAAACGCGAAAGTATTTATCATACTTCCACTTTACGCTGGTCTTCTGTGAGGTCGTGGTACTTACCCGGACGAGCCTGCCCATTCGTGCAACAGCCGAGGCTGCTGCGTGGCCCCACCACCATAACGGCAGCAGCTTCTGTTCCCCGAATCGGCAGACTCGTTCCGGGTAGTACCACAGTCTTACACAAGAACGAAGTGAATATGAAGTAATAAGGGCCCACTTTTTTAAAAAGTGGCAATGAAACTGCCACCCTACGACCATTGCAGGTGTATAGGGCTGCGGTTATCACCTAACGTAAGAAAGGTGAACCACTAGCTCTGAAAAGTAAAAAAAATCCTTTAAAGTTCATTTGTCCCCAGCTGTCAATTGAACGCAACGCTGCACGTAGAGAGTTCAGTTTATTTTAATATTGAAATCGTTCGCGCAGTGTCCGCCATGTTTGCTGTCACACGAATGACAGAAACAAATTTTATATGAAAAATTCGCATTTAGCGTTTTATTTTCTTTTTGATTTCCAACGTTTCGAAGACTTTACAGCGTTAACGATCACGAGACAGACACATGGACACTTTAGCAGTTAGAATTGTCATTGTCAATATAATAATACGAGTGCGCGATAAAAGCCGAAAAATTTTTTTAATTAGACAAAAGAGCCGTGATAGCTCACTGTCCGGGAGCTCGATTTTGATTTTGTATACTCGAGCAATCTCAGTTCAGATCTGGACTTAAAATTTCACAAATTGGACTTAAATTAACTTGGTTTTAATTTCCACATGTTATCACGTGCTCAGCGGTTAAGGAAATTGTAAAGAAATCGTGAGAAAAATTTTCATAGTTTCTAAATAATGAGAAACAAAAATTCTATGACATGTGACTTCTGCTCTTCCGCAGTGGTGTTGTTATGCCTGTGTCCACGGTAAAGAGGAGGCCTTTGCCTAGTGATGGTCATATATAGACTGTTGTGACTTTTAACCAAAAGAAAACGGTAATTCCGACGTATTATTACGCTGACGATAGCAGTGATAATTCAGTGTGCGGCGGCTCGCCTTTAATTCAATTATACTCGCAACCTGAGTTCGATGCCCGGCGAGGGCACCAATGAAATTGTTAATTTTAAGTGCTGAATTATCTCGTGCTCAGCGGTGAAGGAAAATATCGCGAGGAAACCTTTTTCGAAATAAGAATAAAAAAAAATTTCGAAGATATGTGAATTGGTAAGAAGAGTGGCCGCATAGTGGACTATGCCCTGATACCCTATGTACAGAGGAGGCCTTCGAACAGCAGTGGGACATGTATAGGTTGATACTTTACGTTTTTTTAAGTTACTTTATCCTGCGGTGTAATACAGTCCGATGGAGTTTCATTGATTCCAGTGCATAGCTTGGTACGGGGCGATCAGTGTGGTCTCCATCCCCGCTTGGCTGACCATAGCGCGAATGGACCTGTCCAAGAACACAGCGGAGAGGCGAGTAATCGCCGTGCCTCTGCGCAACACCGTGGTCCTGCACTGCAAGGAGCCAATGTCGGAGCCACCGGCTGTGCTGAACTGGTGGAAGGAAGACGGAAAGGTGAACTGTTTTCTCTGTATCCATCCCCTCCCAAAGTACTGTGGCCACTAGTTTGCAGCAAAGAGACTTATTCACATGAGTTGCTCTTGTCCCTAGATCCGGAATAATCATTTGTAGGTCGTAGCCGTCCTATAAGTCTAATCTAGTAATCGAAGCCAGTACACGCGGATTTAAATGCCATCCCTTTTCTTTTTTTCCTTGTGGAATAAAATTGCCCTTACTTTATGATAAAATTAATCTGTGTTGTACATTTTAAAAACATAAACTTCACAGGACATATACCCAGATAAAAATATTACAAATATTTTTCACACAAATCGTTGTCCCGTGTTAGAATCGAATCCACGACCCCTGGCGTGGAGGCTAATACAATAGGAACTGCGCCACGGAGTCATCAATCACCATTAGTATCATATTTTTAAGAACTTTTGGGGGCATCCATTAATTACGTGAGGTAATTTTGGCCGTTTTTTGACCCCCGTCTCCCCTTGGTGCGATGTCGCGAGATTTTGCTCGACGCCCTCTCCCCCTCCCTCAATCTCACGTGAGATTTATAAAAATGCATATTTTTCATGCAAATAAGTTAATCTGTGCTTCATTACATTAGTTTAAAAAAAAACATTTTTTATTTAATACTAGTATTTAAGATATCTTATAACGTAGCATATAATCGCAGTGAAAAAATCGACCAATAAAATACTTAAATAGAAACTACTAAAATTTGTAACAGAATATTCACTCTAATTCAGTCCACGGAGACTCATGTATGGTATCAAGAGTACTGGAACCAACATTGGATATGTAATCATCTGCTCCTTCAACCTCGTTCTGATTTAGCCGTTCTAACCCGTTATCGCTTGCCGGCGTGTGATAATCCGTGAGGGTCGCACTTTGCGCGCTGGTGCAGCTGGTGCAATATAACCGCAAGCCGATGCTCTGCGAGTCTTGTGATAGATGAAAAGTAGATACCGCACGTACTGCAGCATCTCTTTCCTAGATCACCACGTACACTTGGGCAATAGAGATCATAGGGCATGCTGATGAAGGCGTGCAAAGTTTGAATCGGTAGGCAATGGCGAATCAAGAGGGGAGCAAATAACTTTCCGTCATGCTCTTCAGGGTTCGGGATTGTCGTATGCCCATCAACCTGAGTGATAGGGTATGGAGGTGACAGAAAACGGTCATGAAGAATCATATGTAGAGCACTCCGGCGTGGGCTGCAGCAGTCCCGATCATCGCATTTCATAACCTAAAATAATATTTAAAAACAATTCTTCATTTTTTACTCTAATTAAAATGCATTTGTCAGCACTCGCACTCGCTAAAAATATATAAAAAAGAACGAATGAAATCACGATAAAAATAAAAAAGATAAACTATTTTGTAAATTTATACGAAAAACAAAACAATACATCCTCAAATGTGGACAAAATTGCCGCGTACCTGAAGTAAATATTGGCTTTCTCTAACGTGCTCAGTGTACTGGACTGGACTGGCAGGTCTGAGATGCTGAACGTGTCGTTGTTTGGGTCTATGTATTTAGCAACTACTTCGTGTCCGTCAATACACACTGTAGACCATATATCAGCTAAAATTTCCCCTGCCATTTTGAAATTATTCTTTTCCAAGCTAACGTCTGTTGTTCTGCCGCTGGAGTCAAGATGTGTCCCAAAAGAGTCATGGGGAAGGACAACACCACTGTGCTATGATTCTTCATGACCGTTTTCTGTCACCTCCATACCCTATCACTCAGGTTGATGGGCATACGACAATCCCGAACCCTGAAGAGCATGACGGAAAGTTATTTGCTCCCCTCTTGATTCGCCATTGCCTACCGATTCAAAACTTTGCACGGCATGCCCTATGATCTCTATTGCCCAAGTGTACGTGGTGATCTAGGAAAGAGATGCTGCAGTACGTGCGGTATCTACTTTTCATCTATCACAAGACTCGCAGAGCATCGGCTTGCGGTTCATAGTGCACCAGCTGCACCAGGGCGCAAAGTGTTGAAAGCACTTCTGCCAGGGGCATTAGTCACAATGAATATTGCATCCAAATCATATTTTTTGAAATGCATTATGCATGCATATTTTAGTGGACAAACATTTTTTTACTTAATTTAATCAAATTTTCTTGCAATTTTACCCGGTTTCTTCTGGAAAAAAAATTACGTGATATTTCCCGAGACCTCCCTCTCCCCCACTTGAAATTGGGTGGTTTGGCTTGACCCCCCTACTCCCGTGTAATTAATGGATGCCCCGTTTATGTTAATTGTTAATGTTAATCAGGTGATTGAATATTTATTATTAATATTTTGAAATAAAAAAAGTTACAAGATAGTTTTAAGAGGTTCCAACGGGGTTCTTTTGTGTAAAATGTTTATAGTGTTTATACTTATTTGTAATATATTTATGTTTAGATATATCGGTGCATAGTTTTTTCTGAGACGGGTGATCAACTTCAAATGGGAAGATAAAATTGATTCTAGCATAAATTGGATGAAATAAGTTGTTTTATTAACTTCGGACCACCTGTTAATTTTTTGTAAATATTAAATAGTTAAAAATTCTTGCATTGCAGGATTAGAACTTAACTTTTTCCGAGTAACGCTCTATACGCTCTAACTACAGAGCTAAGCGACCGATGTCATCAAGTCATTCTTCACTCTAAACTCACATTATTTGGATCGCAGAGACGGATTCTCATTGAAAGTAAAATTAATAATTGTTAAAGCAATTGATTCTTACAGAATTCGATTTTACTTGAAATGAGAAATCATGTTGTGTAATTTTAGTAGTGATCTCATCGTAACGTTATCAGAAGGGTCATTTAGTCGTGAGTTGAACAAGACGTATGACGTATGTTATACCTTACATTTATATTTTGATAATATATTATCTCTATTGAGTCCACTGTGCTAATTTTATTTGCAAACATTATAAGAAAATTGTAGAGATTAAAATCTAATTTAAATTGGGTTGGATTGAGAAATTTCTTCAAGTGTTAACATATACAGCGTGTCCTTACCACCGCGACAATAAATGAACACACGTCTAATGCTACTTGCTAATAATCATAAAAAAATATTAACGATAAAAAATCCATAATTAAATAAAAAAAAATATTTTTCAAACAAACTAATTAAGTAAAAAGGAAACAAAATTTGTAACATCGTATACAACTACATCTGACTGATTCATACATTCAGAGACTTTTTCATTCGTTGCCACAGCGCCGCATTACAAGTCTCTCCTTCTAACAGTATGTTTTGTCTCTTTGAAATTCATTCAACCCATTCATATGCTTTGTGACCTTTACAAATGAACTTTACATTAAAGTTTTATACGTAAGGGTGTTCTAAAAGTCTTTATTTTGGAAAATTTGATAACTCGTTAAATATTGATGTTTAAAGAATGTAAATCTTTAATACAATTTTAAAAAGTTATCCTCTATATGTGTGTTCATTTACTGTCGCGATGATAAAGACACGCTGTATACTAAAGAGGTAAAGGAAAGAGCTATAAACAGGGAACTAAACAGCTGAAATCCTGGGATGCTGCACCGACAAGAGCCTAGCTCTTAAATTAGAGAAGAGACTATATACGAGTATATATTGATTTTGAAAATATTTGAGACTATAATTATTTGTTCAATTTAGATTAAGTTCATAAAATAAATTTAAAAAGATTAACAAAACATAAAACCAATAATCATTCTTTTATATTGTCCATCAAATTTAACCACTATTTATTATTAATTTATAGAGCATGAAGAAACATGCATAGAATTTTAAGAAATGGTCGTAATTATTAACGATTTGGAATGACTAATGTATAAGGTAAAACAAAAAACGGACTAAAAGCTTAGGGTAAACGGAAAAAAAGCTAGGTAAAATGTTACTTGGTCGTAAAGTTAAAAGTCTTGAGATATTTCTGTGATAGATAATATGTTCATGGACCATAAATTAATACCGTGATGAATTTATGAAAAAATAATACTGAAGTACACTAAATGCAATGTTATCTAGTAAAGTAGACAAATTTAATTTCTATAATTAATCATTTTTTGCGTCTTCGTCATTTATAATATTCAGAGTTGCCATCCACCGCTCTAATTTTACTGTTATACTATTTTCTAAAAAAACTTGATTAATTACCATTACATTATAAAGACCTTTCATAAAAACTAGAATTTTATGTTGTAGTGTGGAATTTTTAGGTATGCATAGAAGATATATAACAAAAACCTGTATACTTTTTTTTATCTGAAAAATTGCCAAACGAGCAGACGGTTCACCTAATGTTAAGTGAATATGACCGCCCATGGACATCTGCTACACCCGAGGGTATGCAGATGCGTTATGCCTTTTTGAAATTGTGCTCCAGCTCACCTCACTCACCAGACGAAAAGCGAAAGTAATATATTTCCACTTTACGCCGGTTTTCTGTGAGGTCGTGGTACTTACCCGGAGCCTGCCCATTCGTGCATCAGCCGAGGCTGCTGAATGGCCTTACCACTAATAATTATCTCTTATGAACGATGATAAGTAAAAATATGTATAAGGGGCCGTTCATTAATCACGTGATGTTTTTTTAGCACTTTTTAACTCCCTTCCCACCTTGGTGACACTGACAATTTGTAGAATATTCTTTAAATAATTTTAATCTTGAATTAAGGACCACGATAAAAATATAACGGCGAGTCAAGGTCACGGCGCTTTTCAGTGTAGAGATCTCTCGTTGGACGAATCATCATTTTGTATATCAGTAAAATTTCGACCAAATATTGTTACTTATTGCCACTCATCATTTTCTTCAACGCTTTGTGTAAAAACTCACTAGATTAAGAAGCAGCTGGACACTCCGCACGGCGTTTTGGTCCTCCACAACGTGTCTACGGCCGACAGCGGGGTGTACGGCTGCACGGCCACCAACGAGCTCAGCGTGCAGACGATAGAGCTGCCCGAGAGGACGTACCTCAAGGTGCAGCATGAGGGGAACGGCGCGGAGAGGTCAGTTGCCACGCTTGGGAACGGAAGGGGTCACTTGCCACGCCGCCATGATTGGGAAGTCAAGGGGGAGGCCCTAATTCCGACAGATGAACCGACGACGTCATAAGAGTCGCGCGCAACCAGTGGATGCAAATGGCAAAGTGTCGTTCTTTGTGGCGTTCTAAGGGGGCCTATGTTCGACTAGAATAGAATATAAATTTTTATTATTTTCTTATATTTGAATACTATTTTCTTATATTTTACGAATACCACACATTAATAATTTAAAAACTGGCCGTGTTCTTTCTTGGTTTACAATGACATTCAGACTTCCTAGGCCACAATCTGTAAAGAGTTCGTCGAATCTGCGGAAATTGAAATAAATAAATGCATTGAAATTAGTGTTCCAGAAAGTAGTTTGTATATTTAAAAAAAAAAAACGATCCCCGCACGAAATAAAATATTTTGTGTCACGGGAAATTGCACGAATATAAAAAATCATGGACACAAAATACACCGGTTTCGGAAAAAAGTGAAAAGTTTATGGAGCACTAAAAATCTGTGCCGTGTGTGTTTAACTATTACAAATCTATTAAACCCAGAAGGAATATTGCAGTACTATTAATTGTTACATACAACAGCACCATTTATATACATGTCGGAGATAGGTGGATGACATAGGACAACTCTTTGTCAGATCCCTCATCGGACATGTTGTACTCACAAAATAAAAGTTATCACGTAGCATTGTAGTTTACTTGTTCGATTAAAATCAACAATAACGAAAATAACTGTTGACCACACTGATGTAATTTGAATGGAAACGTAGCAAGTTGGATACAGGAAGATGACCGCTCGCACCGCCGTCCCTTTACTAAGTGGCGTGCCCGAGCACGTCCAGAACACACCGCCGTGTCAAGGTCAATTGACTTCCACAACTCATAACCGTCAAGTCCGCTCTCTCACTTCCTGTATCGACCTTACTCAAGCTCACTACTAGACGTTTCCGAGAGCTACCAGTAGGTGGTGTTGTAATCAAATTATAGCGCCACATCTTGATCCTGCGACATACATATAAAAATTGTTAATTTTATTCTGTAAAATATTTCCTCAGCGGGCCAAATGTCTGTTTATACGTAGCTTAGAAACCGTCAATATGTAGTATTGTTAATAGACCGATTAGAAGGCGAACACTTCATATTAAAAAAAAAGTAACCTCCCTTAAAACAAATCGTAGATGCGCTCGAGAGCTTCCACACCCATAAGCTTTAAATCGGCAACATCAGTGATATTGAGATTAGGTACATAGTAATAACGAGCGTACAAACCGGTTAAATTTTATACGGGTTACAACTTACTTCTGAAAAGCGAAACTTTCGCAGATTTATAGAATCTGAGGACTACGTAGGCAAGAAAGACGATGACGGCGCGTTGACGGTCTCGGTGAAGATCGACGGAGCCCTGCGTTTGTGGTGCGGCGCCGTGGGAACTCCGCCCCCCCGAGTGGTTTGGACTAGAGACGGCGTTACACTGTCCAACCGAGACGCCCTATTCATTCAGCCGTTCACTTTGCGCGACGAGGTAATGAATATTAGATGTTATTTCAAAAAGAGCTGTTTTCAGCTGCAAGTGTTCGGCTGATAAGGTTTTATTTTGTGTGAATGTGGCGAGCGAACTGGCGGTTCAACTGACGCCAAGTGATAATCGCCGCCCATGGACAATTACAACCACCGTAGGGTTGCAGATGACGACTCCGCGGCGTAGTTGCCAAGGTATTGGCTTCGGCGTCGAGGGTCGTGGGTTCGAGTCCCACGAGGGACAACTATTTGTGTGACCCACATATAATTGTTCCGAATCTGGGTGTTTGTCCGCGTGAAATTTATGTCTGTAAAAACGTCCTTACAACAAAGGATAATGTTATCCTCAAGTAAGGGCAATGTTTCTTTAATCAAAATAAAAAAAAAAAGATGCGTTGCCATTTTTAGTACTGTGGGCCTCGGCTACCCCACTCACCGGACGAAATACCGAAGTACAACAATTCCACTTCTGGCCGGTCTTCTGTGAGGTCATGGTACTTACCCGGACGGACCTGCCAGTTCGTGCAATAACCAAAGCTGTTGCGTAGCCATACGACAGTATGAGTTTACGGTAGAAAACGAGAAGAATATAATGGAAGGAGATGATCCCAGTAATCAAGTTGCTATTTTTTAAGAGAGTTCTAATATTTTTAACACATTAACACAATTGGTTATATAACTAGCGTGGTTCACTTTGCAGAGTTAGTTAATGCTAAAGGTATAAGACACTATTATGACATTGCTTTTAGGTTCATGTCTTTTTCTGATGTTAATTGCGCATTAACCTCTGCTAGATAATGCAATCCTTTCAGGGGCCGCGAATAGAATGGCCTGAGCCAAAGAACGTCCCGGGAAAGAAACGTAGCATTAAGAACTATACTTTGTAGTGTTGTCTGAGCCCTAACGGGAAACCATATCAAGAGCTAAACCATCTTTTGACAATTCCACATTTCTCACTGTCTGGTGATTAAAAATTTTGACCACTTCTTGAGAGACGTATGTAAGAGATATATTCGTATATAAGAGCCCCGATGGCTCAGTGTCCGTCCGGGCATGCGAACCCGAGTTCGAATCCCGGTGCCAGCACCAATGAAATTGTTAAATTTAAGTGCTCATCCACCACCTGTTCGGTAGTGATGGAAAACATCGTGAGGAAACCTGCATATCGTATCTCTGTACATAGGAGGCAGTTGCCCCGCAGTGTGACATATAAAGGCTGTTACTTCACTCTACTATTCCTCATCAGGGTATATACTCGTGCTCGACAAACGGAGTCCGTCGCTCTTGGAAGGTGGTGGCCTTGCTGCCGCCTCACTGGGAGGGGTCGGCGGACAGTGTGAACGCCAGTGAAGGTGGCAGCGCGAAGGTCACATGCGGCCTGCCTTACGGGCAACCCGCTCCGGCAGTGCATTGGTTGCTGAACGCCGAGCTGATGAGGAACGGCAAAGGCGTCAAAGCAAACGGTGAGTGCTTTATTATATATTCTATTAAATGTTCTAAGGATTATTATGTGGCCTTGTGTTTCTTTTAGTAGTCCGTTGTATTGAATATAATTATTTTACACTTTATGTAAAAAGTTAAATATAAACTAACACCCTAAACATATACGTGCCACTGCTGGTCCTTAATATAGCGAAGAGGGACAGTCCAAAACGTGGGTGTAGTTTATTATTATAGCCTAACAGTCATTACGAAGCTTCGAAGTTCTTTATTACTTTTGTATGATATAATATGTATATTATACGCTGCAATATGTATATTGTACGCTGTTATGTATATTACATGGGAAAGATGTGGTGGCTACATATAAACAGTTTTAACTAAACAGTTAAACCTCAAATTTGAATAGCGAGTATAAAAAAAGAAGCATCAGTTATCGAAGTCAGTTGTATATGTTCTGTTTGGACCAGAGAAATCTGACTTTTAATGTAACATAGCTTATCCACTGCAGAGTAAAATATATTAAAGTCAACTTCTTTATTCAATATAGGCTTATTTTAAGATCTTACTGAACGTCAAAATACTACCACCGGTTCACTAAACTAGTCCAGAGAAGAACCAGGAAACAAAATAGACCCGACCAGAGTCGAACTGGCAGGTAACTGCGGTTGATATCACTTCGGTTCTACAAACTTGTACCAGCCAGCCTTTGTTTCAGATACGGACCTCTATATAGAGCGGGTGGAGAAGAAGCACGCGGGGATTGTGCAATGCTTCGCTTGCAACACACTGGGCTGTGCTTTCGACGCGGCAATACTAACTGTAGTGCCAGTACAGATATCTGATCAGGTGAGTCTCAAACGAAGGAGTTGATTAAAATTTAAGTTGTAGTAAAAAGTACAAGGAAAAAACCGTAAGGGTATTTATTGGTTATGCTATGATGTTATGATATAGTATATCAAAGGATAACGGATAATATAACACTCCAATGAAGAATTATTTAATAAGCAGATAAAACTTAATTGAAAATTAAATAAGAGTTCCTACTAAAATCCTAAATAGTTAATCTGAAGTTTTGGTTCGATTCCCGCTGCGTCAGGACACTTTTCGTCCTTTTTTATAAACATTTTAATGTTTCATCTTAAGTGCAAAGATTAGGACTATACAATTTAAAAAGGGAGTTTATCTTTGATTTTGTAATTTTTGGTTTTCGGTGGTTAAAATTCAAAACTATTCACACAGGACTATTCAGCGGAAACGCCTAAGATTCACATCCCACAGCTGCCGAAACGCCACAACAAAAAGAATCCCAGAAAGCACAAAGGTAAGGCTGATCGCCTCTTTCACTTTAATGTTTGTTAAAAAAATATTCCTTGACACATATTTATTTTCACTTTAATCGTTAGAAATTGCGTTTGATTCCTGTGCCGTGTATCAATAACTTTACTCGTTTTTTGGGTTTATTATTTTGTAGAGATAGTTGAGTTTTTTATGGTGATCTCTGCGTATATGATATTATTATTATATATGTAGACATCTTTTTTACCTGACGCTCTTGCCTCTGAGCTAAACGGCTGATAGCCACAGCGAATGCCGAAGACATGGGTTCGATTCCCACAGCGGCGACAATCTTTTCGTGCTTTTTCTACATGTTTTAATGTTCAATCTTAAGTGCAGAGGTTAGCACTATAAAAAAAAAACTTTAAAATTTGTAAAATTTACTTACTAATTTTTATTTTTCAGTGTTTCTTAGCTTCAGTTTTCGTGAAGTTTCAATTTCTCTACGCCTGGCTTCTGAAACACTGATTATCTCTCCGAATCGATCAGCATGACCTTAATGAGCAGAATGATTAATTCAAAGAGTTTAACAATGATTTTGGCAACTCAAATGACATTTGAAAAGCCATTTGACAGCCGATTAGCTAACTTCTACGATGAGCAGTGTTTTAGAAACCGGGCGTTAGTTCTTCAATCAAGGTGTACATGTGCTTTAACTGTTTCAGCCGTCATGATACGGCCTTCTCGTCCGAACGTCACGCGAATGTCTGACGAGAGCGTTATGGTGTCCTGGTCAAACGCCAAGGAGGGTCTGCCGATACAGTTCTTTAAGGTGACCATCAAAGTCAAAGTTAAAGTGAAAGTCGAAGTCGAAGACAAAGTCGAAATCGTGTAATTATTTTTGATTAATTTAGGCGATTTTCAGAGCCGTAATCATATTATTTTTGAATAATTTAGGCGATTTCTAACAGCCGTTACTGGCAACTTATGACACCTTGATTAGTGTTGATAATTTTTTGGCGATAAATGACTTATGCAATTTTATAACTTGAACGTACAACCAACAATTGATAAGCAAGTATTAGGACTTGTTACATTATTTGTTTTTTGGCAGGCTATTTTTCTTGATGGTACACAAGATAAATATAAGATAAACGTGAAACGTATGACCGTTACTAATTCATTCAGCTGAACACTCGGATACAAAAAGAATTTCATTATCCGAGAATCTTCAAGTTTAACTTTCGAAGAAGGTTTCAATTACATAAATACGATAATTACGTTTACGTTTTAAGTAAGTCCTTATTTTTAGGGTTCTGTACCCAAATGGTTTAACCGGGGATGTTACTAATACTTCGCTGTCTGTGATAGTTAGACAGTTGAAATTTTCACAGATGATTATTATTTCTGTTGCCGCTATAATAACAAATACTGAAAACAGAGTAAATAATATTTAAATGGGGCTCCCATACAACAGACATGATTTTTTTGCCGTTTTTATAGACAATGGTACAGAACCCTTCGTGCGCGAGTCCCACTCGCACTTGGCCGGTTTTTAATGCTGCAACGGTTCGTGTGTAATCCGTTCGCAACTTCCGAGCTGAATTAAACCATTATATCACCAGGTCCAATACAGTGAAGTTAGCAATTCGAGTAACTCTACAAACTCCACGAGTGGCCAGTGGCAAACTGCCAACTACGATATACCGTCGTACATTCACGCCTTCGAAATCGACGGCTTGGTTCCCGATAGGTATTACAAGTAAGTGGAAAAAAAATTGTTGCGTTCTGGAGGAACGCTTTTCACGTTCTTCATTATAACTGAATGCTTTTTCTTAATTAAGAATGAGAATTATGTCAAAATATTATTTGTAATGAATAATAATCATAATTAGTTTAAAAAAATTACGCCATTTAACTAAATTAGAAAACAATATGTGTATCTAACAAGAAATAGATATCTGATGACTCCGTGGCGCAGTTGCAAAAATCGTAGTCTTCAGAGTTTTATTTATCTCGCCTAGGTTCAGAATAGCGGCGGTGTACTCGAACCAAGACAACAAAATGGGGAGAAGCAGCCCCCGATTCTATCTGCAACGCGGGGGCCAAAGTCCACAGGCTCCGGTGCTCACAAAAGTCACGGCCACATCACCCTATAGCATACAAATTGAGTGGACGGTGAGCAACGTAATATCTTACGATTTTTTTGCTGATGGTTTTTTTGCTGATGCTAACGCACCAAAAGAAGAATGACTTCAACGACCCATTGCTGTGGAAAGTAGTCGGGTTTCGGCGGCGTAGAGGCGGAGTTCTTTTACGTTACTAAGTAAATAAATAAATAAATAAACAAATATTTTTAGGACACATTCTTTTTACACAGCGTTCTCTAGTCCCAAACTAAGCAATGCTTGTACTATGGGTACTAGAAAACCGATAGACATACTTAAACATACTCTTCTTTTGTAAATAAATACACATTATACATATACAAATACCCAGACACTAGAAAAACACTATGCTCATCACACAATATTAGTAGCTGTGCATGCCTTGACGTCCATCAATCTCACTTTTTTCCTAACGTGCCAAAAGAAGAATGACTTCAACGGCCCATTGGTGTGGACAGTGGTCTGGCTCCGGCGGCGTGGAGGCGGAGGGCTTCTACGTGTACTACCGCGCGGTGTCATCGGCGGGGGCCTACGAGAAGGTGTCCGTAGGGGGTGGGGCCCGCGCGCTGACGCTCGACCACCTCGCGCCCGACACCGCCTACGAGGTCAAGGTGCAGGCCTACTCCGCGCAGGCGCCTTCGGACTTCAGCGCCATACGGGTAAGAGGACTCTTTTTTAAGGGACGGGAGAGAGACGAGGTTTCTCTTTCTTTTTTTTAAACTTTTTTTTAAGTGAAAACTCCTTTTAGCGCGGTGCGCATATTTTTAGATGAGATAAAAATCTCTCGACTCGCGACACCGTCACGAGACGCAGCTACAGTGTGCTTAATTGAATTTTTGAATAGAGAATTTGATTTTACTATGTCAAATCAACGCAATATTAGCACGACGAGATATAAAAGTACAATTGATGCGGTATTCACGAGATGTTTAAATGACTTCGAATCAATTTTTTTCAAATTTTGAAGTTTTTTATAGTGCTAATCTCTGCACTTAAGATTGAACGTTAAAACATGTAGAAAAAGTACGAAAAGATTGTCGCCGCATTAGCTAATAGTTTTCAAGGGAATGCCACTGTAAAGTATAAGCAGTTGATGCTTCAAGGTACGCAGTCAAATTAATACAAAATGTTTTTGGGTTGGGCTGCCATGAGGCGTAAAGCTCTTTTTACTTATTTTTTATTTATATTAATACTTTATTTGTTTTTTATAATTTTTTTTCTTTATTTGTGATACCAGAAGAGTAAATGGAAATTGTAAACTGAATGAAAATATTCAATTCACAATTTTTTGGAAACTAAAATATACTCTAAGTAACGGAATGATAAAGAAACGCTTTTTAAGTTTCTACCACCGAACCAAAAGTTTTCTTATAACACTAAAAGTTTGTTGATAAGTCAGCGACGCTTGTTGAGAGTTTGACTGTTATGGCAGAAATACATTCGGCAGCAAAACTATAAAGAGAACATTATGTTATATCTGCTTGTAAGGTTATATCTGGTAAGGTTGTGTTCTTCTTAGCAGAAATATAAGTATTAAAGTTAAGTGGACAGCAAAGTTAAATTTGCTCATGGGTTGTGTTGGACCAGGAGAGAATAAGTTGCAATACGGCTTTAGAGCTAAGAACGATTTTTGGATTTTCTACTATTTTGATCGATAATAGTGTTAGCATACACAACTACTGGGTCATTAATATTTAATTGAATCAACACTGCTATTGAGTATCAATAATAGAATAAGATGTTATATCATATTAGTTTGCGTGAAGTATTGAATCAGTGTTGCCCGAATAAATGTTTCTTTTTTATTTTTTTTTAAAAAACATTGTCCTTACACAAAAACAACAATTTGACCCAGAATGACATAACCTAAGTCAATAAAAAACATTACACACACTACCGTATATTTGACACATCACGTATATCTACTCTTATGTTTATTGTTAAAGTCTGTGGTCAATTTGAGAATACATTAATATTGTTTAAATAATTTAAATTAATTATAGTCGAATTTCGACCACTGAGCGACCACTACTAAGTATATCTATACATCTATAAAGATAAATAAAATTGGAATGTCTGTTTGTAATATTAAAATAACCACTTTTTACTAAATGCGTATGGATGTATGCACGGTACATATACCAAAATAACATTTTCTACAATTTTTGTCTCTCTGTCTGTCTGTTTGTTCCGGCTAATCTCTGAAACGGATGTACCGATTTGGACGGAACTTTCACTGACAGATAACTGATGTAATAAGGTAACTTAGGCTACTTATATTTTAGAATTTTTCTATTTTAAATTCCATGCGGACGAAGTCGCGGGCACTGTTAGTATACAATAGTAGCCCAAATGTGTACTCTACGCGCCGATAGGAGATACCAGGAGCGCATGAGTTGTAACGCCCTCGCCCGCAGGACGCGAAGACGCACAAGTCGGTGGCGGGCGGGGCGAGCACGAGCACCGAGGCGCCCCGGGGAACCCCCGCGGAGCGAGCGCCTGCCGCCCTGGTGACGGCCGGCGGGGCGCTCGGCGTCACCGCGATACTCCTCATCCTGGTCGTCACGCTACTGCTGTGCCGGCGCGCCAAGCGGCCCAACAGTGAGACCCCACTATACTCCCACAAATACAAACACAATGCACTCCACACAATATGAACAGTCCCGGAGGATCGTTGTGGTGCCAATGTTTAGGAGGCGCGAACGTATGATTACTTCCACTCTACGCTGAACTTTTCTTCTTCTTCTTATTCTTCGGCGTGTGTTCGCCCACCGTTGAACTTTTGTAAGACCTCAAATACAAATGCGATTTTTTTGAAATAAGAAAAGTCCGGAAATATTTTTTTATGCCAATGTTTAGAAGCTTAATTCCGGTTACCTAAATCACCGGTAAAGCGCAAGCGTATGATTACTTCCGCTTTACGCTGAACTTCTGTGAGACCCTGAAATACAAAAGCGATTTTTTTGTAATATGAAAACTCCCGAAGCAAGCAGGCGATTCTCCTGTTGTCAAACGATTATCGTTCCCCTGGACATCTACAACAGTATTAGATTACATAGGTAATACGAAACTATAATACCCTCGCACCGGTCTCCTGTGAGTCGTGGTTCTTCCGGGACGCGGCTGACCATTAATGCAACAACAAGCTGCGGCCCTACTACGTACTTGCTTGTTATTAAGTAGATTACTTAGTATTAGCATGACCTCTGACTATAAATACGGCCATTTATTGCCGGAAACTTTTTTCGAGCCGGCTGAGATACATATTGAAAATGTAATTGAAAGTCTACATACTAATCTGAGATAAGCTTTCTTGAACACGTTTTTGAAAGAGTAGCTTTTGCGGAGGATCTTTATAACCAAGTTGCAAATCAAATTTTAATTTTCAAATCTATTTCCAAATCGTTTTACTCAATAATAAAACTTTAAATATTAAAAAAAAGTTGAAGTGAATAATTAAAGTTTAAGGATAAGAGTAATTTTAATGTAATCCAAAGTCAGAAGTGATGTAGTATTTTCTTTCTATTTGAATATTAGAAAAAAAATTGAGATTGCGAAAACTTTCAAATGCACACAAGCACAAAAGTTTACACACCTCCTGCGCAAAGTAATAAATAAGTAAACATTTTACATAAATCTTTTCTTCTTAAATTGGTAAACAGATCAAAATTAATTTGTCACTTTTCCTTTTTTCGTACGTAACCAATTTTTATCGTAATACATATGAGTACGTCTATTTTACACTGAACTTCTGTTAGGCAGTGCATGCTTCCTTGGACAAACCTGCCCGCTAAGAAATTAATGAATCAATGATTTATTTCGTTGCGAAAGAATTTTATAATCTGTTAGGTTTATATAACAAACATATGGACACACACACTGAAGTGAATATTGAAAGCGCAAAATATTAAGTTTTTCTTAATTGTTTCCAGAAGAAAAGGTGTCCGTTCCCGAAACCGGTAGCGGTAACGGCTATATGCCAGCGAAGGTGCCCATCACTATCACGGCCAATCCCATGCACCCAGAGGTAAATATTACCAATGTAGATAAAACCAACATGAATCTGTTGTGAAAATTGCCATTGGGATTTGCAAGGACGAGAAGAAATTACGTACAAAAAGGTTGTGTCTCATAACAAAGAGATTTTTCTAGATTTGGAATCTATGCCTCGAGAGAAATTTATCATCATGTTTTTTAACACAACAACCACTCTTTGTACGGATGTACGGAAAAGTCTTAAATACATGTTCGAATTTGTTATTTTTAAATAGAAAAGGAAGTAGATACATTAGCTTGTATCCTTGACCTTTGCAAATTTTTGAATTCTCCTCTTCTTCAGATTTCTAGTATCGTTTTACAATACTAAATTGATCGACTAACTACAATTGGCGGTGTGACTATTTGGCGGTCGTCGTATCTAATAATGGCCACTTTTACCAATTACATTTATTCGTATGACTAATGTATTCTTAATAATGATTAAAAACTAATAAACAAGTAAAAAGTAAATAATGAGCGAAATAAAAGTAGACATATCATAGTTTTTAGTCTGAAGCGATTAGGGAATAAAAAATGTACAAACATTATTTGTTTTCTTTTTCAAAATAAAATAAAGTCTTTGTGAATTTGAAATGATGTTTAAAGATAATGGTTACAGATGATATTATATTTGAGAGTGACACAAGGGATAATAAGGATAGTACATTATTATTCTTAGTTGAAATTATGAATTGAATAGATTCTGAAGTTATAGTTCTAATTTATTAACCTTTATTTATGCTTTTAACGCTTCACGCAGAATGAGGACAGGTATGTTTCATTGAAATTAGTATATTCTAAAAAATTTAGTGTTTAATAAATAATATTTATTGCTTGTGTATTTAATATAATAATACATTATTTATTATATTAAATACAAGGCTTGTTTTATGTCAACAAAAACGTCATTTATACTGTTTGTTGATATGCACTAAAATTAGCAGAATCCGAACCAAATAGCGTTAATATTAAGGCTCATTTCAACCTTTATGTCCGTGTACATTTTGAATCTTGAAAATTGAATCTTGCAAAACTAGTATTGTTTAAAATGTTTTCCGTTCATCATTTAACTACGTATTTCTATTCTGCCGATATCCTTTGCTACTTAACTATCTATTGAGAGTTAAACTGTATATTCACAGGGAGGGGAAGCAGGTGTAGAAATGTCGTTCCTTCACAACAACAACACAGGTAGCAGCGATGAGGCAATACCTCATTCGAGGAAAAACGGACCAGCGCGCCAATATGTGTAACGAATTCCTGATACTTGAATTAAGGAGACAGTGTGTTAATGTCTTGTTAAGCCATCGGTGTTGCCAGTTGTTTCAAATACAAAACAAGCGGGATATCTTGGCAAACATTACGTGTGATGCGAATTGATCGCCGTCATGCTTAAAATGCAATGGACTTGCAACAGTACAAAATAATATTTATTATTATCGTTTAGTGTATTTGTGTTCGGTGTAAGTCGACAGCGTGTAGCCAGTAAATGGCAAATTGTACTTAGGTATTGATGTATAATTTATTTATATGGTCATTCGTGAAATCGAAGAGAAAGTTTCGAGATTTAAAACGAACATACGAACGAAGCGCTTCTTCATAACGTTTGTAGCAATAAATGAATAAATCTCTTGTAAAGGATCTGATTATTTTAACATATTTTATAATAACGATATAATTATTATTTTAGCATAAAAATACGACACTTCGTGGAGTTTTGGCAATGTACTTAGTTTTCTATGATATATTTTAAGACACTTGTAATAATATCAAAATACTATAGCAGCTGACTCGTAGATGTAAAATTAATTATAGCTTAAGGTTGTGATTGAATTATGCATTTAAAATGGTATATCTGAGGTTTTAAATATTTCTTATGTAACCTAACTTTTAATATTATTACGGTACACAACGGACTAACTGTTTTCACCGTTCTTGCATATATCTTAATAATCTATAAAGTATATAGTATCAAAAAAGGTAATAAATTCTATGATTAACTAGTGACCCGCTCCAGCTTCGCACGGGTTTAATGTATTATACATATAAACCTTCCTCTTGAATCACTTCATCTTGTAAAAAAAACCGCATCAGGATCCGTTGTGTAGTTTTAAAGATCTAAGCATACATAGGGACAAACAGACAGCGGGATGACTTTTTATACTGTGTAGTGATTTATTCAAGAAATAAAGACTCAATACCGATACTGTGAACTTTTAAAAATTTGTTGAAGAAAAAAGAATTCTAAAATATATTATTGATTGGTGTTAACTTATAAATTAAATAATAACACTGTGAATAACTAAAAGAATATGAGATTCAAATGTCTCACGTTTATATACTTGTATGATATTCGAATTAAAATTTTTCGTCATAACTTTTCGAAAGGACATCTTTACCAATACCTTTGTTGACAATATGTTTCCAATACAGACTCGTTGAAAATAGCTGCTGAAGAAGTTATTGATATAGTTTATTTGTTTAAAACGTTTATGCTTGCGTTTAAAACATAAAGATATTTTGTGCCGCTGTGTTGTATAGAGAAGTGAAATTGAGTGTATAAGTGAAACAACTCTAGTATTATAATTTAATTACACATAGCAATATATGTCTCATCAGCATCATAAGCAATTTAGATATTCTCGGTATAACAACTGACCCCAGGTTCATGCTAAGCATTTAAATCGTATTTACTAAGACGAATTTTCCATGACACATGTTTCACTAATTAATAAATATATTTATAAGAAGTCTGACGGGTAACTTTGAACGTTATCTTTGAATTATTCAAATATGTATATAGAGACATATTAGTCTCATATTTATACGATTTATAATTCATACTTAGATAGCAACTTATACTAATATGTTATAATCCTCAAACCTGCTGTTTGAAAAAATTTGTTGACTTAATTCTCTTTCAATATACCTTTTATAAAGAATTGTTTAGCTTTGTCCTTTGACGTAGATGCCCGCAAGCAAATATTGTAAATTCTTGAAGCACTTTTTTCAATGTGTAATTTTGTCAAAGTCAACTTTTCATAAGAATTTTTTATAAAAGAAGTTAAATTTCTATGTAAGACTGAAATGTTAAACATTAAGATTTTGCAAAATGTATTTGTAAAAATATATGATTAATATTAAAAGAGTGGCTGTTATTTTTATTCTGTATCATTAATTTCTGTTTTCAGACTAACTGCATAGAATGATTTTAGCTCATAGTAGGCGTAACTCGCTACTCGCTCCACTATTACGTTGCTTACGGAGAGAGAGCTTACGGTTATGAATAATAATAATAAATATTCAGGACACATTTGTACACAACATTTTCTAGACCCAAAATAACCAATCTTATAAGAGACCTATTAACATTACTTAGCCCTGTTTCTGAGAAACTGAAAAACTCTGAATTGATCAGAACGATCTTCTTAATGATCATAATGATAAATTCAAAGAGTTTAACAATCATTTTGGCAACTCAAAATACATTTGAAAAGCCATGTGACAGCTGATTAGTTAACTTCTATGATGATCAGTGTTTCAGAAACCGGGCGTTAGTTTTTTTTTAATGTTGAAAGTTGCCAAGCGAACAGGCAGTTCATTTGATGTTAAGTGATAACCACCGCCGACGGCCGTCTACAAAACCTGACGGGTCGCAGATACATTGCCAACCTATTAAAAACCACTTAATAGATAAAACGCGAAATTACGATGCTTCTACTTCATGCCAGTGTTCTGTGAGGCCGTGGCACTGCCCTGGACAAGCGTGCACATCGTGCAAAAAAGTGTCATAAAACTTTAAAACAAAATGTAATATTGAGCTTCACCATTGGCATTGAGCCTGTGGAGACCATTTTGACATTTGTGCGGTTGATATCAAATGTTCATCGTAAAATTAAGCAAATTGATTACAGATGGTATGTATAGTGTCTCGGTAGCATGTCCATTCTTTGGATGAGACATTTTGACATTTCCACCATACGCGACTACCCCGGAATCCGATATCGCAAGTCATATTTCCGGTACCATTTTAGCTAGAGCGTTTTCCTAGCTTAAAGAACAGAAATTATTTAAAACTGCTCTGGTATTATCTGTTTATGTTCAGCGGTGACCATTTTATATCGGGTTCGACGATGTAAAATGGTCACCACTAAACTGTAAAATGGCAACTCATTTGGCACCATTCCCATTGAAAAATATATATTAATCTCAGTCATCGAAGCAACAAGGTCGATGTTGACTGTGTCTGCTCCGACGCCAAACTCGCGATCGTTGGTGGCCCACAAGGTTGCGTTTTATTTCCTACCCTGTTCCTTGTGCATATGAATGACGTGTTGCATATTTGTATTATTCATTGCTAAGCGGATGACACTTCATATACCAACTGGGGTGAATTAGCGTCAGAATGAACTTGTGTCTTAAGTCCGGGATTATTGCCATAGATACGATAGCTATTCTTGGCATTGATATATCAAGCACTTTTAACATTTTTTTTATTTTTTATTTTAACTGATGTTTGTGCTTTCAGTCCCGAGACTATTAAAGCTTCATCTGACGCAGAACCGGTGGGCTAGCCAGAACCCACGGGTTTGGACCCTTCGCTGTGGGTAGGGCCGCACATGTGCTCATGCGTGCGTTTAACTACTACATGTCACCTAAAGGCCATCGAAGTTGCGGTGCGGACTGAGACCCCGATGGCCGTCGACTGTGATTTTAGCTAAACGGTGGGTGGGGGCGGTGAGAACCGCCCTGGAACGCGGGTGTACCTTCTGTACGCGTTGTGTTGGTCTCGCCGTGCTCGGAGGCGAGGGCGAACGGAGTAAATAAAAGACAAATTCCACTGCGCATGGAACTACTGTTCTCATCTCTGGGCTGGGGTACCCCAATACCTGCTCTGTTTAACCTAAATTCTATTTAACTAAAAAATTTTCTGCATCAGACGAAGAGCTACTCTAATCGTCAATGACGAGGTCCTGTCCAATCGCCTCAACGCTGGGCTTGCGAAGAAATGATGTATTTCTGCATTTTCTATCACATATATCACGCCGAGTGCTCTGAGGAAGGGAAGGGAGTCGGGCTGCATGTGGAGCTACTACACATAAACAAATCTTTAGGCCGGTATTAAACCTAAAGAAAATAAGGCTGGTAGTTTCTCAAGTAGTTGTAGTGTCAATATGTTGCCTAAAGTCATTTGTGTTCGGGATAAAGGAACCACATTAGATGACGTCAAACTTTATTAAAATGGCATAAAAGTTGATAAGACATCGATATTTTCGCGCGTTAAGGATGATACACCACGTAGCTTGGTGGCAAGAGCTTCTGGACGGCGTAGGTTTGAATCGCGTCAGCGGCGAAAGATTTTTCGACAATTTATCTAACATTTTAAGTTTTATCTTAAGAGAAACGAGTAAAAAATGCACAATTCTAGTTTTCAAATATTCATTTGAGAAAATGTGTTTGCTGTTTAAGATACATATAAGATGACGCTAAGCATTGCTATAAATGCAATAAAAACATAGTGGATTAGACGTGGAGATTTTAGTGTGGTGTGAACATGGATACTAGCTTAGTGGGTAGGGCATCTGCAAGGTGCAGGGTATATTATCCACACATTGAAGTTTCATCTCAAGTGCACAAGCTTAAAGCAATATATTTTATAATACAATAAATATTCAGCAACATATTTGGACTATATTATACTCAGGTCAATATTATTTATTATTAGTATACTTTATAATTACTACTATTTATAATTTACTAATATTTATTAATTTTATTGTATTTGTTTTCGCTTCGAGTAATGTTTGCTTTAAGCTTTATTGGTTTAAGCTACGTGAAGATAGGTGTGTGATGTGTTAATTAATTAGGATAAAGGGAATTGGAATTAATTGGATTCCTGCTTATACATCATAAACTGTATACAATACATATAATTACATAATTTCAAGGAAGGTACCACCATTAGTGTACTGTTTCTTAAATTTACAGAAATGAACACTGCGATTCTTCACTTTAATACAAAAAGTGGCATAGAAGATAAAATTGCACAAAAAATTGATTGCCCTTATTAGTCCATTCCATGGATGAAATAATAATAGTAAGAAATGAGAATGGTTTAAATAATAGTATAATAAGTAGAATTATCCGAACATTTTTACTTTACCCTTCCTGTTCGAATTCGTATCACCATAGTCTTACACAGGTGAAAGTTTTGTTCAAAAACAATCTTCAATTATCACTCGACACCTGA